TGATCCATAGGATGAACTGAATAACTGAGCGGCGAACTTTGGATTGAACGTACATACACACACACACGCACACGCATACACACACACAACACACACACACACACAACACACACACACGCACACACACACGCACACTCACACACACGCGCGCGCGCCCATGCTACTGTGTCAACGACTTGTTGTTGAAAAACATTGCATACAAAAAACGCAATATCGTTGTTATTAATTATAATGATGATAACGAAGAAGAAGAAGAAAAAGAAGCAGAAGAAAAGAAGAAGAAGAAAATGAAGAAGAAGATGATGATGAAGATGATGATGAAAAAGAAGATGAAGAAGAAGATGCAGATGGAGAAGAAGAAGAAAAAGAAGATGACGATGATGATATCAATGATGACGACGACAAATACGATTACAATAATGATGCAACGACACTAATAAGGACGACGACCACGTTAATTACGACGGGAATGACGTCACAAACGATGGTGACGATATTAATCACACATCTTTTTCGATGGTGAGGATAATGACGTCACATCATCTTTGAATGATGTCTTATTGTTTTGTTTTTTGAATTCGTGATAGGAACACTTTTTCCGTTCATACCTTTTTTTTGGTTCATTTTCACGAAGTGTGGGCAGTGCCAACATCTTATCGGCTGGTTCGGTGCAGAACAAAGAGGGAAAAAAGGAAAGAGAGAAAGAAAGAGAGAAGAAGAAAAGAGAAGTAATAAAGAGAGAAAGAGAGAAAGAGAGAGAGAGAATAGCAGAAAGACATAATGAAAGAGTTAGAGTAAAAAAGACGGTGAACACTAGAGAATAAATAAAAAAAAAGATTGTGTGTTTATTTGTGTGTGTGTGTGGATGTGCGTGTAGGCTGTTGGGGTTAAAAAGAGCGAGCGAAGGAAAGAATGAAAAAAAAGAAGAAAAAAGAAAGAAAATATTAAGAATGAAAAAGAACTGTGAGAAATGGCACATTAGTCGAAGAGGAGCGCGAATTAAGGTAACACGTGAGAAAAATGAATAAAAACAAATAAAAATTTAAAAAAAATGAGAGAAAGAGAAAATGAAAAGTAAGAGAAAGAGAGAAAAAAAGAGAAAAAGAGAAAAAAGAAAGAGAGAAAGAAGAAAAAGAGAGTCAAAAATGAGAAGGCAGGAAAAGAGTGATTGAAAATATCTAAAGAGTGATCACCGAAAAATGATGGATTTAAAATTTTTAAAGAAGATGGTTAAAGCCATAATAATATTTTCCTTGAATTTAAAAAAAATGTTTTTCTCTGTTTACTGATATTTTTTTTTGTTTTATGTAAATTTTTCTTTGTTGAATGTATGTTGTTTGTAAGTTTTTTGTATGTATCTTGCATATCATCTGTTAATGTAAATTTTTGTACGTTGTTTGTATATTTTATGTTTATGTAAATATTGTATGTTATTTGTATGTTTTTTGTATGTTATTTGTATGTATTTTGTATGTCTTATGCATATGTAAATTTTTTTATGTTGTTTGTATGTTTTTTGTGTGTTTTATGTTTACATTTTGTATTGGTTTTATTATAGTATTTATTAATAATATATCCTTATTGTTTGTATATACACAGTTTGTATAATGTTTAGTAAACATTTTGTATGATTCTTGAATTATCAGTGTTTTTCAATTTCATTCATAATGCATTTTATTTTAATTCAAATAAAATTCACATAGAAATTCACCAAAAAATATGAAAAATAGTTAAGAGAAATACGGATTCATGATTTAAAGTTTTTAAATTTTGAAAAAAAAAGCTAAAAAAAATTATATTATTTGTATAGATATATATAATTTAAAAAAGTTTAATATTTAAGAATACGAACACACACACACACATACGCACGCACGCACACACGCACGCACACACACACTCGCACATACACACACACGCACACACGTGCACGCATCTCCATTATTATTCATCACTTACTCACCACCATCATTATTGACCACAATATTATCATCATTTAACATAATTATTTAATTATTAATTTATTATATAATTATTATGATCATAAAATACCAAAAGTTAATACAGGAAAACACAATGTAATAAAATAACGATAGAGAATGTAATAAATTATTTACAGATTGTAACGATAATATTACAGTTGTAATAATGGCAGACTATAGCAACAGTATTAATACTTATAAAAAATATTAGTAACATTAATAATAATGATAATAATAAGAAGAAAAAATATGTATAAAAATCAGAATATTTAATAGAGACCATAATAACCCATAGCAAACCGGGCTCTTGTAAGGCTTTTAATCAAATTATTTTTTACACTATATAGATATGCAATTGTTGATGAAAATCACAGCATGTTCCCCGTTAGTTAGCTTCCTATTTAATTTTTAGATTTTTCTAACTGTAGATCCTAAATTATTATCAAGTAAATAAATTATTATCAAGTAAATCATTGCAAATCATTGTAAATCACGACAACGAATCTGTCAAGAAAAATCACAACTCAGGTACAGACTGGCGCTATTAAGACTCACACGAAAGAGAAACACAAAACTGAAATTACTAAACAAATCTGGACAGCAATGTTGAAATCTCACATTACAATAACGACCATTATAATTTACGACTAGCAGCCGATTCAATATTCATAGAAGAAAGACATTTAAACATCCAACAACGTGCATTTGCAATCCTTCCCAGTGATAAATTTAGAAGCAGAGGAACCAGCGATAATGATGACACTCAGAAGTGTTGTATCTCTTAAACAAACCAAAAATAACATTGTAGAAACACAGTGTATGCAGATCTACTTGAGCATTCGACTACATACACAACGTACCAACTCGAACACCGAAGATGGTATAGGAATACCGAAAACAGTTTTCTGTTCTACCATGCTTATAATAAATAAAAAACTTTGGTTTTGAACTCAAAAAACTTGACAATGATTTACGATCTACCGTTAGAAAAATCGAAAAATTAAATAGGAAGCTAACCAATTGCATTTCTGACAGTCTTAATCCAAAGAATGTGTGTGTGTGTTTGTGTGTATGTTTGTGAGTGTGTGTGTGTGTGTGTGTGTGTGTGTGTGCGTGCATGTGCTTTGGTATATGATAGTCAGTGATTCTCTGTAATCGAATCCTACCTCGTTGCCAACTGCGATTTAACTAATAACTTCAATTTGTATTGAATTGTTTGCCAAACGACAGCAGCCCAATAGCAAAAACAACAACATTTCCAACAACACCAACAATGACGTCATCGTAAACAACCACGTCATCGGGCAAATATTTAACGTTAACGTATTTAGCCATTGATTTCATTTCTCAAGATTATTTATCTGCTTTCGTACACTCATCGTCATCATCAGCAACATCATCTTCATCTCTGGTGCTGTTAAGATAATTGTCGTCGTCGTAATTGTTATCATAATCATAATCGTCATTCTTTTCAACATCATCATTATTATTATTATTAATATCATCATAGCCAAAATCATCATCGTCGTCATTATTGTTATCACCATTGTAATTTTGGTCATCGTCAAAGCTTGGACTATCGTTAATTTTACTGTTACGGATTATGACGTCGTAGTAGTTGTTGCTGTTGTTGTTGCTGTTGTTGTTGCTGCTGCTGCTGTTGCTGTTGTTGTTGTTGCTGTTGTTGTTGTTGCTGCTGCTGCTGGTTTCAATAATCTGACTTTTGTTGATGTTTTTAGTGGTGTTGTTAATGTTTACGCAACTGTTTACGATGACGTCATTGTTGGTGTTACAGGAAATGTTGTTGTTTTTGTTGTTGGGCTGTTGTTGTTTGACAGCAGTTTCATCCATTTTATTATCCTCATTCTCCTGGCAGAAGTTTTTTTCACCGGTCACGTGCTTCAGCAGTATTTCATTCTCGGCTTCTGACAGGCTAGGTCTGACGTAGGGCGTGGTCGAGTAACGTCGGAATGTGATCTGATTGGTCAGCGATTGGGATGGGGTCTTGGGGCTGTCCTTGCTGCCTGACGAATGGCGCTGGTGGACTAGGTTGGTCTCCACGGTCATTCCGCCACATACACTAGAGTGATTTTCAGGAATTTTTGACCGGTTGACGAGATTTTTATTGTTGTTGTTGTGTTTGTTGATGGAGTCCACAGGATGTCTGTTTTTCACGACCTGCTGAAGGTGCAGGTTCTTTGAAGTTTTCAATCTCGAAGAGGTCTTGAAGCAAAGAAAGTACGTCCTACGTTGAATTGAAGTTTCTCTCTTTATTATTTTACTCTTAAATTTGCAAAAGTTTCATTTCAAATTTTTCAGAAATTTTAAAGAAAATTTTCGTTGTAACGCGTTTTTACATATTTGCAAGTGACGAAAAAAAAGTTGCGTTCTACAGAATGAACGTGCAAAATGTGTTAAAATTTTATATCTCGTGTCAGTTTATCGAATGTTTCGATGTTTTTTTGGTAGCAAGTTCTTGCTTCAAATTTTTAAAAATTTCAACTTATTTTCAAATGAAGCATGTTGATTTTATTCAGTTGATCCGGCCAATAAACTAAAATTAATTTTTTTGTTTGTCAATTTTTTGTGAAAGCGAGAACAAAAAAAAATTTAATGATAAATTTTTCAAAAATTTGAAATCAGGAACTAAAATTATCTCAGAAAAACTATAAAAAAAATCAATAAAAATAGACAAATGAGAATACATTTTGTGACCAGCTACACAACAAAATGATCAACAACACAACAAAAATGACTAACAACAAAACGTACAGCACCATTTATAGCTAACAACAAAATTTTATTCAAAACCATCCAGCATTGATAACGTTAGCATTGTTTTCTCCTCAATTATAGCATCACGTCCATCATTAATCATTCATCCTAGAATCGTTTCTATCATTTTTTTTTCGAGGTATACACTCACAAACATATGTGTGTATGTGATATTATACAAACATACATACAGACACACACAAACCAACCCACACACACACACACACACACACACACACACAATCACACACACACAATCACACACACGTACACACATACAAACCTGTTATTTTTAACTCCAGCAGATTTTGAATTTTTAAATAAAAAATATATAATAGGGTTAACTGCACTGTTTAATGGAGCCAGACTCTGAACAAAAATTGTCAGCACCATGAGTTCGGGTTTGTACTGAATGGCTTTGAAGACCATTAAGAAGTTGTAGACATAGAAAGTGCTCCAGCAAAATATGAAACGCTGTGTATGTGTGTGTGTGTGTGTATGAAGTGTGTTTGTATGTGTAGAGTGTGTGTTTG